ATTTTTTGGTCATTTCATCGCTTTTTCAGTAAATTCATGTTATCATTCATGTTCTTGAATCTTTTGGTCTCACTCAGCATGTGAGTGGCCCCACCCACAGCAGAGGGCACACTCTAGACCTGTTAGTTACAAAGGGGGTGAACATTTCTAATGTAAACGTGGTCGATGTTGCGCTTTCGGATCATTTTTGTATATTTTTTGACATGTGTTTCACTAACAAACCACCAGTGGACTCTGCAACTGTACGAAGAAGACACATAAATGAAAATACGGGTGAACTATTTATGGGAATGATAAACTTTGAGAATGCATCGTATTCTACTGTAGATGAACTGTTTAACTCTGTCACCTCTAGTGTTTTGAAAGTTCTGGACACCATCGCTCCTGTGAAGGTTAAAATAGTGAAAAATAAGCAGAAGGCGCCGTGGGCTAAAGCAGACTCGGTCAGGGCACAAAAGAGAGAGTGCCGGAGGGCCGAGCGGAAGTGGCGCAAGTCCAACCACCAGGTTGATTACAAGATCTTCAAAGATAAGTTGTGCGAGTTTAACCAGGTGCTACGTAGTACGAGAGAAAGGTATTTTTCTGAAATGATTGAAGGCTGCAGCAACAATCTGCGTGTTCTGTTTTCAACAGTTAATAGATTAACAAACCCCCCTGTTCAAATGCCATTAGAGCTAACTTCCAAACGTAAATGTAATGAGTTTGCACATTTTTTCAATGACAAGGTTCAAGGCATCAAAAACGCCATTGTCTCCAATCCACAGATAACAATCCAACAGCCAGAAAGGCTCTTTGAGCTAACTTACTTTGCACCTGTAGATGATAAAAACTGTCCAAGAGATAATCTCCAGTTTGAGCTCCTCCACATGCAGCTTGGATGTACTACCCACTAGATTTCTAAAGTCTGTTCTGAGCAGTCTGTTACCTTCACTCACACAAATAGTAAACATGTCCCTTAATTCTGGAATATTCCCAAAGGCCCTGAAAACTGCAGTCATCAGGCCCCTGCTAAAAAAGAGCAGTCTGGATGCTACGGTACTTAACAACTATCGTCCCATCTCAAATCTGCCATTTATGGGGAAAGTCCTTGAAAAAGTTGTCTACCTACAGCTTACTAGATTTCTTATAATCAACAACTAATTTGATAAGTTTCAGTCCGGCTTTAGACCCCACCACAGCACTGAGACTGCTCTTGTTAAGGTTACAAACGATATCCGGCTGAACACTGACGCAGGCAAAGTCTCAATCTTAATCTTGTTAGATCTAAGTGCTGCCTTTGACACTGTCGACCATGAGATCCTCTTACAGAGACTAGAGGACTGGGTTGGCGTCGCTGGCACCGCCCTAAGTTGGTTTAGGTCTTACCTTGAAGACAGGAAGTACTTTGTGGAGATTGGAAACTGTGTCTCAGATCATATGGCCCTGACCTGTGGAGTCCCACAGGGGTCGATCCTGGGACCTCTTCTGTTCAATCTCTACATGCTGCCGTTAGGTCAGTTAATACGCAGAAACAAAGTGTCCTATCACAACTATGCAGACGACACTCAGATCTATGTCTCACTGACTGCAGGAGAACATGGACCAGTGGACTCACTCCTTCACTGTATCCAACAGATCAGTGAGTGGATGCAAAACAACTTCCTTCAGCTAAACGCAGACAAAACTGAAATGATTGTCTTTGGTCCCCAGAAACAAATAGAGAGCGTCATCTGTCATCTACAGTCTCTCTCCCTAAAACCTTCAAACAAGGTCAGAAATCTAGAGGTAATACTGGACTCAGACTTAAATTTTAATAGCCACATCAAATCAGTAACATCAGCAGCTTTTTACCATCTAAAAAACATTGCCAGGATCAAAAACATAGTGTCTAAAGCAGACCTGGAGATTCTTATCCATGCATTTGTCTCCAGTAGGTTAGACTACTGCAATGGCCTGCTCACAGGTCTGTCCAAACAGGCTGTAAAACAGCTGCAGTACATTCAAAATGCAGCAGCTCCAGTCCTGACTAGAACCAGGAAGTACGACCACATTAGTCCAGTCCTCAGGTCTCTGCACTGGCTTCCTGTGGCTCAGAGAATAGACTTTAAAACAGCTCTGCTTGTGTACAAGTCTCTCCATGGCCTCGCACCAAAATATATTAGTGACATGTTAGTCCCATATGAACCAGCCCGGACTCTGAGGAGCACAGGGACTGGACTCCTGCTGGGACTCTGAGGAGCACAGGGACTGGACTCCTGCTGGGACTCTGAGGAGCACAGGGACTGGACTCCTGTTAGTGCCCAGAGTCAAAACTAAACATGGGGAGGCTGCTTTTCAGATTCATGCTGCTAAAATCTGGAACAATCTTCCTGAAGATGTGAGACAGGCCTCCTCTCTGACAATGTTTAAAGCCAAGTTAAAAACGGTGCTGTTTAGCTGTGCATACAACTGAGGGATTTTATATTTTTATTTTTCGTTTTAATGTTCTGTGATTATTTATGATTTTAATGCTATCTTGTTCAGCACTTTGAGTTGCCTTGTGTATGAATTGTGCTATACAAATAAACTTGCCTTGCCTTGCCATCATCATGATGATGATGATGATGATGATGATGATGATGATTCATATTCATTACAGTAATTCAACCATTAATTCATGGATGAAGTCATCCATGAACCAACATGTAATCTAGTTCTGAGAATTCATGATCTAGTAATGCATGAATGTATCATGAACTAATGCATTAGTTCATGATAATCATGCATGAACTCATGAACCATTAATATAAAGTGTTACCAAATCTATATCTGTAGTTTCTGGTTTTTCTAAATCAGTTTTTATCACTATCTTTAGATCTGCTTTTTTAGACGGAAAAGTGGGAACGAGAGGACCACCCCGACTCGACCAATCAGCTCCAAGAGGCAAATAATGACTCACAGGGATCTGCTACTACTGCTGCTACTACTACTACTACTACTGCATCGTCATTACGTCAGAATACTCTTTCTAACCACTACAGTTACTACTTTAAAGTCCAGTCTTTCACACATGAGTCTGAAGTGAAGACATTATATTTTGTGGTGTTTTAAATGTACCTTTTTTAAGTTTGTAAATATTCACGAATTTACACTAAATAAATGATACAAAAATGATAATAAAAAGTAAAGGAATTCAGAAAACAGGGACTACTTTTCCCAAAGCAACAGAATACTTCACAAAACACATTTTAGGGTCAAGTATTCAGTTTTCTGGAACGGAATACATTCTCAAAGTATTCTACCCAACACTGACTACTACTCCCTTTACTACTACTACTACTACTACTACTACTACTACTACTACTACTACTACTACTACTTCTATCTGGCTCTAAAACAGTTTGCATCTATCACTAGTTTTTACCTCACTCAGATCTCAGCCCAAAGGGTCAAATAGTGACTCACAGCGCTCTTTAGCACAACTAAGTACAATATGTTTTCTAATAAGTTGTGGTCTCATTCCTTCGTCTCTTTCTGTTGCCACTTATAAATACTGTTAATAATGTCAAGTTAAGTCCTTCAGCTCTTTAACACAACCTCATATTTCCTCCGTGTTTGCAGAAATCCACCCAAAAGCCTTCGACTCAAAACCACAACAGACGGAGCTCACTTTGTAACTCTATCCAAAGTCAAACACGCTGCAAATCCTCCCAACACACACCTCCAGAGCCCCCGGAGCAGCCGGAGCAGGTGAGCGTGTCCCACACACCTGCACAACACCACAATCCAGGACAAAAACGCCACACAACGCTCGGTATGATCTGCATTCGGTCATTACGCGTGGAAAACTTGTGCGTAAAAGTCGTCCCACACGCTCCGGGCCGAGACTCCAGCTGTGCCCGGCCTCATAACACACACATGCCAGCAGAGAGTAGTGTTAGTACATTGTAATAAATATAGCCCAGTTCCAAAATACTTCCCTCCCTCTGCCACAGGAGAGGACACGGCTGGCTGCACATTGCTACACCAACACCGCGACGAGAGAGAAAAGGCGAACTAACTCCAATCTGCATTTATTTAAGCGTACTTTATGGCAAGCGTGTGCGTAAATTGCGTTTTTAAAAAACTAAGATTTAAAAAACTAAAGTGGGGTTACCTGGTGCGTGGCTCAGCAGGAAAGTTGCCAGGACAGAAGTCCAAAAGAGCAGCGAGGCAGGCTGCATCTTGACGCCCGCGGTTCACTCTCGCTCACGGGGATTCCCTTGTATCCAGGGTCGGTCCTTGGCGTGTTAAAAAATTCACCAAAGCGATCAGCAGCAGCAGCAGCAGCAGAAACAGCAGCAGCACAAACCAAGCCAATCCCAGTTAATTCTCAGTCCGGACTCAGCTTCGCACCATTACGGCTGTGCGTAATGGGCGCACAGGCGACAGCGACGTCTCCTTTCCGCCTGCTGCAGACGATAGCAGCTCCAAATCGGGGTTTCCAAAGTTCACAGGAGTCGGAGAGGCGCAGCTCGGCTCTCCAACATGTTGTGTGGACTACTTCTCTGCGCTGTAGTCAACCAAAAGGCACTGTGGACTGAACCAAGTCAGAAAACAGGGGTGCGCAATGTTTTGGGAGCTAGAATCCACTGTTTTCTTCCACGCGTTTGCACCAAATCTAACTAAAACCACTCATAGACTAAGCTTAGACTGCACGTACGTGGTTGTGTTTGTTAGTTCTGGTTTGGACTAGCTTTGGTACGGTCCACACACGTCCACGCGCCCCTATTCCGTAAGAATGAAGCCGCACTTTCGCTGTTCCAGTTGTGTCATGTCTTAACTTAGAGCGTATTTTTCCGGCGGTCTGCAGATGATAAAAGGGAAATCAGAAGCATGTGGAGCCGTGTGCGCTGTTGTGTGCTGTTGTGTGCTGTTGTGTAAGGACGTCTCTGCCCAAGGGAGGCTGCAGTTTTTAAAGCTGGGGGACCTGACTTTTGTGGGGGGAAAATCAATGTAGTTTGTCCAACAGAAAGATACGTGTGTGCGGTGTTGTGGAGAGTTCAGGCCGCGACACGCTGCAGGAGAGAGAGCCCAATGAGGCGGTATGTGACGGTGAGGGAGAGGGAGAGAGAGCCCAATGAGGCGGTATGTGACGTGAGGGAGAGGGAGAGAGAGCCCAATGGGACGGTGGCCCAATGAGGCGGTATGTGACGGTGAGGGAGAAGGAGAGAGAGCCCAATGAGGCGGTATGTGACGGTGAGGGAGAGGGAGAGAGAGCCTAATGAGACGGTGAGGGTGAGGGAGAGAGAGCCTAATGAGACGGCGAGGGTGAGGGAGATAGAGCCCAATGAGGCGGTATGTGAGGGAGAGGGTGTGGGTGAGTGAGAGAGAGCCCAATGAGGCGGTATGTGGGGGAGAGGGTGAGAGAGCCCAATGAGGCGGTATGTGACGGTGAGGGAGAAGGAGAGAGAGCCCAATGAGGCGGTATGTGAGGGAGAGGGAGAGAGAGCCCCATGAGACGGCGAGGGTGAGGGATAGGGTGAGGGAGATAGAGCCCAATGAGGCGGTATGTGAGGGAGAGGGAGAGAGAGCCCAATGAGGCGGTATGTGAGGGAGAGGGTGTGGGTGAGGGAAAGAGAGCCCAATGAGGCGGTATGTGAGGGAGAGGGTGTGGGTGAGGGAAAGAGAGCCCAATGAGGCGGTATGTGAGGGAGAGGGTGTGGGTGAGGGAAAGAGAGCCCAATGAGGCGGTATGTGAGGGAGAGGGTGTGGGTGAGGGAAAGAGAGCCCAATGAGGCGGTATGTGGGGGAGAGGGTGTGGGTGAGTGAGAGCGAGCCCAATGAGGCGGTATGTGGGGGAGAGGGTGAGAGAGCCCAATGAGGCGGTATGTGACGGTGAGGGAGAGGGTGAGAGTGAGGGAGGGAGGGAGCGAGAGCCCAGTGAGGCGGTATATGTTGGGGAGAGGGTGAGGGAGAAGGAGGGAGTGAGAGTGATTCTCTCTGTAGGCTGACGTAAACAAGTGGATTTTTTTCACATGGATGTGAAAACTAGTGATAGAACCTCTCTGGTCTCTCTCTCTGGTCTCTCTCTGGTCTCTCTTTGGTCTCTCTGGTCTCTCTCTCTCTGGTCTCTCTCTGGTTCCTCTCTCTCTGGTCTCTCTCTGGTCTCTCTTTGGTCTCTCTCTCTCTGGTCTCTCTCTGGTCCCTCTCTCTCTGGTCTCTCTCTGGTCTCTCTCTGGTCTTTCTCTGGTCTCTTGGGTCTCTCTCTGGTCTCTCTGGTCTCTCTCTGGTCTCTCTCTGGTCTCTCTCTGGTCTCTCTCTGGTCTCTCTCTGGTCTCTCTCTGGTCTCTCTCTCTGGTCTCTCTCTCTGGTCTCTCTCTGGTCTCTCTCTCTGGTCTCTCTCTTGGTCTCTCTCTCTGGTCTCTCTCTGGTCTCTCTCTCTGGTCTCTCTCTGGTCTCTCCTCTCTCTCTGGTCTCTCTCTCTGGTCTCTCTCTGGTCTCTCTCTCTGGTCTCTCTCTGGTCTCTCTCTCTGGTCTCTCTCTGGTCTCTCTCTGGTCTCTCTCTCTGGTCTCTCTCTCTGGTCTCTCTCTGGTCTCTCTCTGGTCTCTCTCTGGTCTCTCTCTGGTCTCTCTCTCTGGTCTCTCTCTGGTCTCTCTCTGGTCTCTCTCTCTGGTCTCTCTCTGGTCTCTCTCTCTCTCTGGTCTCTCTCTGGTCTCTCTCTCTGGTCTCTCTCTGGTCTCTCTCTGGTCTCTCTCTGGTCTCTCTCTCTGGTCTCTCTCTGGTCTCTCTCTGGTCTCTCTCTCTGGTCTCTCTCTGGTCTCTCTCTGGTCTCTCTCTGGTCTCTCTCTCTGGTCTCTCTCTGGTCTCTCTCTCTGGTCTCTCTCTGGTCTCTCTCTGGTCTCTCTCTGGTCTCTCTCTGGTCTCTCTCTGGTCTCTCTCTGGTCTCTCTCTGGTGTGGTTTGTCTTGAACAGAGAGACTTTTTCTTCAGATCTTTGTGTAAATCATGACCTCATCGTCCCAGAAACCTTTTAATTAAACTGATGTTTGTAGAAATGAGAAAGTACAGGAGAGAATCTGTACACACACACACACACACGTACACACACACACACAGACACACACACACACACACACAGACACACACACAGACATACACACACACACACACACACACACGTACACGTACACACACAGACACGTACACACACACAGATACACACACACACACACACAGACACACACACACACACACAGACACACACACAGACATACACACACACACACAGAGACATACACACATATACACACAGACACACACATACACACACACACACAGACATACACACACAGACACAGACACACACATACACACACACACAGACATACACACTCAGACACACAGAGAGAGACCAGAGTTAGACCAGAGAGAGATCAGAGAGAGACCAGAGAGAGAGACCAGAGAGAGACCAGAGAGAGACCAGAGAGAGAGACCAGAGAGAGACCAGAGAGAGACCAGAGAGAGACCAGAGAGAGACCAGAGAGAGACCAGAGTGAGACCAGAGAGAGAGACCAGAGAGAGACCAGAGAGAGAGACCAGAGAGAGACCAGAGAGAGACCAGAGAGAGACCAGAGAGAGACCAGAGAGAGAGACCAGAGAGAGACCAGAGAGAGACCAGAGAGAGAGACCAGAGAGAGACCAGAGAGAGACCAGAGAGAGACCAGAGAGAGACCAGAGAGAGACCAGAGTGAGACCAGAGAGAGAGACCAGAGAGAGACCAGAGAGAGAGACCAGAGAGAGACCAGAGAGAGACCAGAGAGAGACCAGAGAGAGACCAGAGAGAGAGACCAGAGAGAGACCAGAGAGAGAGACCAGAGAGAGACCAGAGAGAGACCAGAGAGAGAGACCAGAGAGAGACCAGAGAGAGAGACCAGAGAGAGAGACCAGAGAGAGACTTTAGAATCACACGTCTGAGTTTGCAACAATACAGAAAAACACGTTACCACTTGTAATTTGACATGAATGAGCGTTCACACACAACCATTAGCCCCAGTGCTGGTAGCCCCTGCCCCCGAGCTCCCCTGGTCCATCAGGATTCAGCTCACGGCTCCACCGCGACACCGTCACGCATACATCACCGGGATTCCTCTCGACCAATCAGACGACGGCGCTGTGATAGAGGATTTCCACACACCAGGACTCATCTGTGGGGATCCAGACCGACCCAGACCGACACGGACCGACACAGACCGACACAGACCGACACAGACCGACACAGACCGACACAGACCGACACAGACCGACACGGACCGACACAGACCGACACAGACCGACACAGACCGACACAGACCGACACAGACCGACACAGACCGACACAGACCGACACAGACCGACACAGACCGACACAGACCGACACAGACCGACCCAGACCGAGACAGACCGACACAGACCGACACAGACCGACACGGACCGAGACAGACCGACACAGACCGACACAGACCGACACAGACCGACACGGACCGACACGGACCGACACAGACCGACACAGACCAACACAGACCAACACAGACCAACACAGACCGACACAGACCGACACAGACCGACACAGACCGACACAGACCGACACAGACCGAGACAGACCGACACAGACCGACACAGACCGACACGGACCGACACAGACCGACACAGACCGACACAGACCAACACAGACCGACACAGACCGACACAGACCGACACAGACCGACACGGACCGACACGGACCGACACAGACCGACACAGACCAACACAGACCAACACAGACCGACACAGACCGACACAGACCGACACAGACCGACACAGACCGACACAGACCGAGACAGACCGACACAGACCGACACAGACCGAGACAGACCGACACAGACCGACACAGACCGAGACAGACCGACACAGACCGACACAGACCGACACAGACCGACACAGACCGACACAGACCGACACAGACCGAGACAGACCGACCCAGACCGACACAGACCGACCCAGACCGAGACAGACCGACACAGACCGACACAGACCGAGACAGACCGACACAGACCGACACAGACCGACACGGACCGAGACAGACCGACACAGACCGACACAGACCGACACAGACCAACACAGACCAACACAGACCAACACAGACCGAGACAGACCGACACAGACCAACACAGACCGACACAGACCGACACAGACCGACACAGACCGACACGGACCGACACAGACCGACACAGACCGAGACAGACCGACACAGACCGACACAGACCGAGACAGACCGACACAGACCGACACGGACCGACACAGACCGACACGGACCGACACAGACCGACACAGACCGACCCAGACCGACACAGACCGACCCAGACCGAGACAGACCGACACAGACCGAGACAGACCGACACGGACCGACCCAGACCGACACAGACCGACCCAGACCGAGACAGACCGACACAGACCGACACAGACCGACACAGACCGACACAGACCGACACAGACCGACCCAGACCGAGACAGACCAACACAGACCGACACAGACCGACACAGACCGACACAGACCAACACAGACCGACACAGACCGACATAGACCGACACGGACCGACACAGACCGACACAGACCGACACAGACCGACACAGACCGATACAGACCGACCCAGACCGACACAGACCGACACAGACCGACACAGACCGACACAGACCGACACAGACCGACACAGACCGACATAGACCGACACGGATACAGACCGACCCAGACCGACACAGACCGACACAGACCGACACAGACCGAGACAGACCGACACAGACCGACATAGACCGACACAGACCGACACAGACCGACACAGACCGACACAGACCGACACAGACCGACACAGACCGACACAGACCGACCCAGACCGACACAGACCGACCCAGACCGAGACAGACCGACACAGACAGACCGACACAGACCGACACAGACCGACACAGACCGACACAGACCGACACAGACCGACACGGACCGACACATACCGATACAGACCGACCCAGACCGACACAGACCGAGACAGACCGACACAGACCGACATAGACCGACACGGACCGACACAGACCGACACAGACCGACACAGACCGACACAGACCGACACAGACCGACCCAGACCGACACAGACCGACACAGACCGAGACAGACCGACACAGACCGACACAGACCGAGACAGACCGACACAGACCGACACAGACCGACACAGACCGACACAGACCGACCCAGACCGACACAGACCGACACGGACCGACACAGACCGACACAGACCGACACAGACCGACACAGACCGAGACAGACCGACACAGACCGAGACAGACCGACACAGACCGACACAGACCGAGACAGACCGACACAGACCGAGACAGACCGACACAGACCGACACAGACCGAGACAGACCGACACAGACCGACACAGACCGACACAGACCGACACAGACCGACCCAGACCGACACAGACCGACACGGACCGACACAGACCGACACAGACCGACACGGACCGACACAGACCGACACAGACCGACACAGACCGACACAGACCAACACAGACCGAGACAGACCGACACAGACCGACACAGACCGAGACAGACCGACACAGACCGACACAGACCGACACAGACCGACCCAGACCGACACAGACCGACCCAGACCGAGACAGACCGACACAGACCGACACAGACCGACACAGACCGACACAGACCGACACAGACCGACACAGACCGACACAGACCGACACAGACCGACACAGACCGACACAGACCGAGACAGACCGACACAGACCGACACAGACCGACACAGACCGACACAGACCGACACAGACCGACACAGACCGACACAGACCGACACAGACCGACACAGACCGACACAGACCGTCACAGACCAACACAGACCGACACAGACCAACACAGACCGACCCAGACCGACACGGACCAACACGGACCGACACAGACCGACACGGACCAACACGGACCGACACAGACCAACACAGACCGACACAGACCGACACAGACCGAGACAGACCGACCCAGACCGACACAGACCGACCCAGACCGAGACAGACCGACACAGACCGACACAGACCGACCCAGACCGACACAGACCGAGACAGACCGACACAGACCGACACAGACCGACACAGACCGACACAGACCGACACGGACCGACACAGACCGATACAGACCGACACAGACCGACACAGACCGACACAGACCGACCCAGACCGACACAGACCGACACGGACCGACACAGACCGACACAGACCGACACAGACCGACACAGACCAACACAGACCGAGACAGACCGACACAGACCGAGACAGACCGACACAGACCGACACAGACCGAGACAGACCGACACAGACCGACCCAGACCGACACAGACCGAGACAGACCGACACAGACCGACACAGACCGACCCAGACCGACACAGACCGACCCAGACCGAGACAGACCGACACAGACCGACACAGACCGACACAGACCGACACAGACCGACACAGACCGACCCAGACCGACACGGACCGACACAGACCGACACAGACCGACACAGACCGATACAGACCGAGACAGACCAACACAGACCGACACGGACCGACACAGACCGACACAGACCGACACGGACCGACACAGACCGACCCAGACCGACACAGACCGACACAGACCGACCCAGACCGAGACAGACCGAGACAGACCGACACAGACCGACACGGACCGACACAGACCGACACAGACCGACACAGACCGACACAGACCGAGACAGACCGACACGGACCGACACAGACCGACACAGACCGACCCAGACCGACACAGACCGACCCAGACCGAGACAGACCGACACAGACCGACACAGACCGACACAGACCGACACAGACCGACACAGACCGACACAGACCGACACAGACCGACACAGACCGACACAGACCGACACAGACCGAGACAGACCGACACAGACCGACACAGACCGACACAGACCGACACAGACCGACACAGACCGACACAGACCGACACAGACCAACACAGACCAACACAGACCGACACAGACCAACACAGACCGACACAGACCGACACAGACCGACACAGACCGACACAGACCGACACAGACCGACACAGACCGACACAGACCGACACAGACCGACACAGACCGAGACAGACCGACACAGACCAACACAGACCGACACAGACCGACACAGACCAACACAGACCGACAGACCGACACAGACCGACACAGACCGACACAGACCGACACAGACCGAGACAGACCGACACAGACCGACACGGACCGAGACAGACCGACACAGACCAACACAGACCGACACAGACCGACACAGACCAACACAGACCGACACAGACCGACACAGACCGACACAGACCGACACAGACCGAGACAGACCGACACAGACCGACACAGACCGACACAGACCGACACAGGCCGACACAGACCGACACAGACCGACACAGACCGAGACAGACCGACACAGACCGAGACAGACCGACACAGACCGACACGGACCGACCCAGACCGACACAGACCGACACGGACCGACACAGACCGAAACAGACCGACACAGACCGACACAGACCGATACAGACCGACACAGACCGGCACGGACCGACACAGACCGACACAGACCGACACAGACCGACACAGACCGACACGGACCGAGACAGACCGACACAGACCGACACAGACCGACACAGACCGACACAGACCGAGACAGATTGACACAGACCGACACAGACCGACACAGACCGACACAGACCGACACAGACCGACACAGACCGACACGGACCGACACAGACCGACACAGACCGACACGGACCGACACAGACCGACACAGACCAACACAGACCGACACGGACCGACACAGACCGACACAGACCGACACAGACCGACACAGACCGACACAGACCGTCACAGACCGACACAGACCGACACAGACCGACACAGACCAACACAGACCGACACAGACCGACACAGACCGACACAGACCGACACAGACCGACACAGACCGACACGGACCGAGACAGACCGACAACAGACCGACACAGACCGACACAGACC